GACCGGGCCGGAAGCCACACTGCTCTTCTTGGATCTTGAGGTCAGCTATTTCACGGCACCTCCTTTCTAAAGCATTTAACTCTGATCGTTTCAATTTCTCATGAACTGCGGCCTTCGACTGTCGTCTCTTCGTCTACTGGTCGTCGTTTCCTTCCGATCTTTGCGTTCCCACCATCATGACTGACGCCTTTAACATTAATGCACAGGTGTCCTCATCGTCCATGACCCAAACTCAGGAGTTGCATGCCGACCAACGCCGCTCAACCTCAGGTACTGCTACTTTGTCTCGATGCTACGTTTCCCCGCAAAATGCTACAACGTCGAGGGCTGTCATCTCAAATTTCGAGCGTGAACTGCTTAACGCTTAGTTCCTCATGCTCTGAATGCCACTACTAACATTCAGAGTAAAAATGCAAGCAAAAATAATCGTTTAAATTCTTCGACACTTGAAGTTTCCTTTGGTAGTCTTGCTCTTAACACTGTGGATGATCCGCAACACAGAGAACAATAAAACTTGTAGTTAAAGCGTGTAACATGATCAGAAGTAACACAGAATTTTAAGTAACGTGAATCACATTAACTCCGTGGTTACACGTTGCGTTCATTATTAGTCAGAGATCAGTCAGCGTATCAAGGCAAGTCATGATAGCATGGCTGTATGTCTCGCACGCTTTAAAATGACCACAGCAAAGCATTATGTATCCCTCTTATTCGCAGGTCAATCTGCTACCCGCTTTTCCGCAGGTTGCCGTAGGTAGTGAGGTGAATTCGTTGTTCCATGAATCAACGGTTAATAAAAGAATACTAACGACTCGTGTGGATTTGAACCCGGAATCTCTAAAAGTGTAAGCAAACTACCAACTCGCTGCACTACTGTCCATTAAATAGTGAGAGTCATTAGAACAGAGCAGCCGTATAACATCAACACTCTGCAGGGTGCTAACGGCTGTGTACCCTTTTAAGGTTTGGAAATTGGGTTTCGGTGACTAAAATGGCTATAGCAGAAAAACTGCTTAAGCCAGTTTAAGTAATATTAGGTCTAATGCGGTCCTACTCAAAAAACTGTTGTACTACTTGTCTTATCAAATATGGAACCATATTTCACAACTCAGATTATGCCACAGGTCTACAATTTGAACTTCCATTTCAAAAATGTCACGCCAGTGATTATGCTGGAATACACTTTATAAAATCAATGCAAACCGTTGCGTGAAGAGGGCTGCAGCTGTTCTTTTAAGTTCTGAAGTACGGCTGCGCTTTCGCCATCGAGACAGTCACTGTTAGACTTTTCCCATTCCTCTAAGTAGTCGAACGCCCTTAGATGCTGCAATGACGTCATCATGTAACGAAACTTCTTCTCAAAGTAGCACATAAGCTACCTGACTATCACGCATATAGGTCGACGCACCAGCTTTCAACAAGAGATTCATGACATCCAAGTGGCCGTTCGATGCAGCATCCATCAACGGCGTTACGCCGTCACAACCGATGAAATTCACGTTTGCACCGGCATTGAGCAGCATCTCGACGATACCAGTGAATCCTTTGTTTGAAGCCTCGTGCAACGGCGACCATCCAGCATTATCGGTGATATCCAAAGGGTGATGCTAAATAGACAGATTTCACATTACCCTTTCACAATTACCTGTGTACAGCAACTAAAAACGTGTCATTAAATAACATATGATACTGAATTAGTTCACAACAAATATAGCAGTGTTCTAGCTGGAACCTGCAATGACCTTTACTGCAGTATGATACCTCGCCAAACCATTTTGATTTTCTCTATCTCTGGTAAGCTGTCTATTTGATAACCATATACAACAGCCTACTTGCAATTAGCCAAGAACGCACAGAGAGAAAAATATCTGGAGATATCCAGCCATTAGGCGATCCACGATTAGGATATTCACTTGCTACGTATTGACATTACGCAGATCTGTCGCTAAAGATAGGCGTTCTCACAATATGATGATAATTTTAGCACGCAATGTACATCAGAGCTGACGTAGACATTTACGAGCTAAACTGTGATGAATTAGACATCAATCAAGTGAGTCAGGCGAAGTGTGACCGTAAAGCATATATAGCAGACAGCAGGATCATAAGCTTAACAAAAGCCGGCATCACCACGCCAGCACACCGCACTACCGTTCTTGCCTGAAGGTCAGCGGCTCGCTGTCGGTTTCTCGGCTGGTTGCAGGACAGCAAAGTTTGACGAATTGTTTGGCCAACAAAAATATGAATATGATAAATTTATACCGCCGTACGGTTCACATTTTTAAGCTGCCAAGTCCAACTGTTTGCTTTGGCGCCACCGTTCGCCATAATGATGATTAAATGATAAGACCCGATAACGAATAACTATACGGTGTTCCAGGCACACATGTGTTTAAAAGATGTGCCAACCACAACTTCATGCTGGCTCTGTTGTTCGCAAGTCAACGATTGGCTAACAGTTCCTACGTTGGTCGCACTGAAGCAACATGCAGAGAATTCCTCAGTCGAGAAAATTTTGACCTTTTCTGCATTCGACTCAGTAATTCTAGAGTTCGAAGTCGGTCTCTTTGCCACCGTAATAATCATAATTGTTCAGTATAGAGACCGCTGAAATCAAAACCGAAAGATCTCAGGTTCAAGTCCCAATACGAGTCACTCGCGTTTCTTTGTACAAAGGTTGGTAAATGAACCCCATTCGGAAGGAAAGGAAGAGGAAACTACCCGCTATGCTTGTCGCACAGTCACTGTCGACAAAACGTTTACCAAAAAACACTACAGGCTGGTGGCAAGAAAATGGAGATAAGTGTCCTCAGCAGTAACTTTCTGACAAGAAGAGAGCCACAACGACTCCACAATGAAAGTGTAGGGAAAACCGGCATTTCAGGAGTACATACTTTACTCTTCCTTTTCTTTGCCTCTGTGTCACCATTTCAACTTATTAGAAACATTGCTAACCTTTTGTAACAAGCGGCGAACCGTCTTGATGTCGTTATTGATGGCTGCCACGTGTAGCTCAGATTCGCCAAGCGGATTTTTCTTCACCGTATAGCCCTGTCTTCGTACCTTGACGCATTTCCATTCCTCGCTTTTCTCCATTTCCTCATCTAACGACACGACAGTACTTTCAAACATTTTCTGAAAGCATTATGTCGTATGTTTACTGCTTTCTTCAGAGGAACAGCTGCTGGAAGAGGTGATTTCTATTCCGTTAGGCAGATCTTCATCATGGGAGTCATCTATGAGTGCCGGCGAAGAACTGCTGCCACCTTCGTCCAAAAATGGGCAGAGTTCCTCAGCTCGTCGGTAAACCAGATCGCGATCAGAAATGTCCCGAGTTTCCTGCTTCTCCAAATAAAGTTTCCAGTCACGATAGACAATTGCCTAAAACTTACACCGAGAATAAGGTCGAAATTAAAGTTAAAAAATGTCAACGTCCACCTGCTGCATTTTGTCTTTCAACACCTCTGCCAGTTTGACGGCTCTGTTATAAAATGAGTGCACCTTACTTACCGGCAGTTCTGCCTTTTCACTGACCACCGCCATCATGTGCAGTGTTTTCGACTGCTGTAAGAAACACTCATTAGTTGCGCTCAAAAACTAACAGAAAGAAATATGGCAGTTTTGACAAAAAAAACTAATGGGACAAACATTTAAAGATCTGTTGGGTATGCCAACAATCCACTTTTCAAATAGGTTGTTCGAATACACAAGATGTTGCATAGGGTGATGCCTGTCCTATAGATAATATTGAAACTGCCTTTACTTTCATAACGACAGAAGTCTGAAAATAAGTGCATGTTAAAAGATAAAGATAGTGCTGCCGCTATATTGAAATGGGAGGCAATGGTCATAACTTGCATGTAAAAGATAATACTGGAGAAAACTGTGATTGTAACCATTATTACTAAGTACGCATGGCAGGTTTTAGATTTCAGCTGCGCATACCGATGGGCATTTGCGTCTTGCGTAGATGATGTATTAAGCTTTAAGTTCTTTCCGCTAGTTTGAATCTGACCCCCAATGAAATTAGTTCCTACTATTTAATCTCCTCCTGTCTATTTTTTTCTTTGTGCCGGCTTCCTTTTTCGCAAATTGCTTTTTTCATGTCTATGACTTTCTTTCACTTATTTACCTAGCATATGTTGTATTTATTCGCTACGGTGCATTAACGATTTATCTGCTGATCTTTGTTATCTGAGACCATGATATCTCTTTGTACAGAAGAAGGAAACTGTTGTGGGCTCCAAAAATTTTACTTAATAAGTATATGTTTTATAATTAGAATCGTCTCATTCTTCATCTACTAACAGCTAAAGAATTGGTCCCCGAAAAAAATTCCAACCCATTAGCTAGCTTTTTAAGCTGATTAGATTTTTGCACCAGAACTGAAGTATAAATCCTCGATCTACTCGAACCTTCCTGCAAAACATATGATAACCAAATATTTCAGCTCTAAGATTCCTTGACTTTTGATAATTAACTGGGAATTGTTATAAGAATGGAGCTTATCATAACCACGCCAACGCGGAAAAATATTTAAATTGTATTTTTTACAGGCACATAAAGCGTGCGATTGTTGGAGCTTGCT